CTTCTAAGGGAATTTAATTGTGCTTCTTTTAATTTCAGTAAACCCGCATTTTTTAAATACATCCTTATTTTTTCCTGTTTTCATTTTCCGTATTGTTTACTGAGTCATAGGGATTGATGTTATACAACTTTCTATAATATTCCATAAAAACCTTTGCAATCTCCTTATTTGAGTGAACCAGTTCTCCCTTGGAGCTTTTTATTTTTTCAATATAATTCCCTATTTTTCTTTTTCCTTAAGGCTCTCATTAGATATTTTCCTGGTCTATCTCCCCATCTATACCTCTCATTTAGCACTTTATTATAGACTCTCCTTCTCTCCTCCTCCCATTAAAGTCTCTAGCTCTTCTTTCTTTTTTATTATCTTCTGCTTGATTTCTTTTGCTAATATATATTATTTTTATCTATCTGTTCCAGGTCAAATATATCCTCTAAGAGTCCCACTAATTTTCTCTCTCCTTTCTCTTTTCTTTTTTGCCCCAATCGCAATCAGGATACCTCTTATATATGCCCTATGAGACTCCCACACTGTAGCTATCGACACATCCTCTGTCTCATTCTCTAAAAATTCTCTCAATTTCTTTCCCAATCTTCTGGGCAGTATCCTTATCCAGGAGAAGTGCCTCATTCAAACCTCCATCCAACACCACCTGTTTTCTCCCTTCCCCATCCCATCTTCAATACAACAGGGGCGTGATCCTAAATAGTCATCGCTCCTATTTCTACTTCAACCATTGACTCAATAAATTGATGTTCTATCAATATGTAGTCCAACCTCGAATACATCTCCTCATGTGCATTTGAGAAGAATGTATAGTCTCTATCCTTCATATGCATAATTCTCCCATGTGTCCACCAATTGGAACTCATGGTAGTAATCTAAGAGACCTACTCCCATCTCGCTGCACAGAAGAGGTTGCATCTTTTGTGGGTCCATACATAAATTAAAATCCCCCGCCAATATCAAACGGCCCTTTTTAAAGTCCATCAGTTTTTTTAGCACACCTTTCAAATATATCTCCGGCTTCTGTTTGGGACAATATATGTTTAGCTACTGTACACTCCACCTCCTGCAGTTTACCCTTCAAAAACAAATATCTCCCCTCTGGGTCCACTTTTCTATCCTCCAACTCAAACCTTATATTTTTTTTCAAATTCTATTGCCACCCCTTTTGCTCTCCTAATCGGGAAATCTGCATAATACCATGTTGGATAATATCTAGATTTTAACTTAACCTTAGATTCCATCTCAAAATGTGTCTCTTGCAAAAAAAACCACTGAAGATGCTCTATGGTGAAGTTCTTTAAAATAACCTAAATCTCTTCCAGGACAATTCAACCCCTTTACATTATAAGTGATAACTTGTAGTTCTTCCATCTTTCTTATATCACTCCTGTTCCCCTCCATCCCTCCTCCTCTTTTTCCCTTGCTTTTGTACCTCCCTCAATCCTGCAGAGTGTTGACCCTAATACCCCTCCCCCCTCCCACCCCCCCCAACCACCCCCTCCCCCCCCATCCCATTTTTAGGCTACTAATATACCTATTAATCATTTGTGGGCCAAGATCCCCACCTTTGATTTAATACTTGGGGTCAAACTCTGCCAATGGACAAGCTGCTCCTCCCTCCCACCTCCCCAGTACCCTCTAACTTTTAATTAACTCTTTAAAATTTCACATGCCCCCTGAAACAGAACTCTATGTAGCATACTATAAGGAAGGAAAATGGGCAAGGAAGAGATAGAGAGAAGGAGGAGGAGGGAGAGGGGAAAAAAAACACCCCTCTCCCCCCTCCCCCTCCTAATTCCTCCCTCTAACAGCCTGCCAGTCCTCTTGTCTTATCACTCCTATTTCTCTCTCCTCTTCCTCCCATCCGGCAATCTCCATTCTTTGCAACTCAAGTTTTTCACAGAAATCTCTCAAGTCTTCCGGAAATCTCAAATAAGCTGTAACTCCATCTTTCCATCCAATTAGGCACGCTGGGGTCCCCCATCTAAAAAACACATTCTTTTTCCTCATCTGCTCTAAAAGGGGTTTCAGGGATCTCCTTCTCCACAAAGTCTCCGGAGTAAGATCTGCAAATATCTGAATATCAATTTCTCCATATCTAATTGATGCTTTTCCTGTTGATCTTCCTCCAAATCGCTTCTTTATCCCCATGTTTGTTAAATTTAACAATTATGTCCCTTGGTTTTTCCTTCCCCGTGCCTTGTTGGCTCTTTCCTATTCTCACGATATCTTCCAGATCAGTCAACTCTAAGGCAGGTCTGTTCATTATGGAGTTTAAGATTTTACCTACTAATTCTTGCAGTGTTTCCCCTTTAGCATTCTCTGGGACTCCCCTTATCCTAAGGTTACTCCTCCTGTCCCAATTTTCTTGTACCTCCATCTTATATATCAATTTTTTCGGAATTTTCCTCATTTTCTTTTCTAATTCCGAAATGCTTTGGGCCTGATTTTTAACTTTTCTCCTCCGTTTCTTCCACTCTCACCAACAACTGCCCCAAATAATTTCGGATAGTTGCCATTTCTTGCTTTATTGTCTTCTCTAGTTCTTAAAACATCTCTGCCATTTCTTTTTATTCGTACTTGTAGTTCACTTTCTCTCTCTCTCTCAATCTCCATGGTTCTTATTGTTTGTTGACTACTAACATTTAGAACACAAATATAACAGTCCCAGTTTAGCCCAAATAGTGACCAATTTTCTTCCTCTTTTAAGTTGCTTAATCTTCTTCTCTTCCTTTTCCTCCTCTCCTTCTATTTCAAAGTCCCTGGGACTCCCCCTCCTCTCCCCGCTCTCCTTAACAGCACATTGGGACATTTAGGGTGTAAAAGTTCCAGACAGTCTCACTCACCCACGTCTCTCGTCCCTTGCTGCAAGGCAGTTGGGGGCTTCAGGTGTCCAGCTCCTCTGTACAGTTCTTTCCCTGGGGGGACTCCACAGGGCTACTTCTCCTGCTTCCATAGGGGTCTTCCAAAAAAAAAAAAAGTGTCCACGTCCTTACCACTATAAACTGCCAGCCAGGGAGCAGACTAGGGAGCAGACAGCCTCCTTCCTCTCTTCTCGGCACGCCGGCCGGCTTCCTCTGCTCCCAGTGCTCCTTTGCGGCTAGACACGTTCCCACGACGCTCTCCCTGTCCCCCGGCAACCCGGCTTTCTGACTCGCTGGACTCCAGGTGGGCCGGTCTCCTGCTCTCCCCCCCCCTTCACTACTCGGGTTCTCCGCTCCCTCGCCAACACCCCCGGCACTCCGGTAGGTCCAGACACGGCTCTCATTCCATATAGAGGGCCCCTGGGGAGGTTAGTAGAGGAGCTTAGCAGTGAGCTCCTACATCAAGCCCTCTGCCGCCGCCATGCTCAGGCTCCTCCCCCCTCTAGTCCTAACATCTACTATTTGATCTCTTTGTGACTATACAGGCGAAGCAATTCCTACACGGGTAAAAACCTTTATCATTCAAAAACGTGATATTATTTTTATTGGGAGGGTCTAATATACTTTTTACCACCTTTGATCTAACCGTAGGTGCTTTTCTATACACAAACTTACGGTATTCTGGTAAAACTCCTTTTAAAATGGGATCCAACTTTAAAATACTCCAGTGTTTACTAAAAATTCTTTCTATTTTTTTGTAATGGATATTAAAATCTAGAATTATTGTTTAATTATCACCAACATTATCTTCCTTATTACTATCTTGCAAAAACGTATTTCTATCTCTGTTCCCAACTTCAACTATTTTCTGGGTGAACATGTCCTTGGGATACCCTTTATCAACAAATCTAGATCCCAGCTTCTCAGCTCGTTCTAAATAATCTCTATCAAGGGTACAATTCCTTCTAACTCTTACATACTGACCCTTTTGGATATTATACATCCAGGGGGGATAATGACAACTCCCCATTGGTATATAACCATTACGATCTACATTTTTAAAATATGTTTTCGTTAAACATTTCCCATTATTAATCTTAATATTTAAATCTAAAAAATGTATCTCATGTATACCTCTAGCAGCTAAAATGGAAGAATTTGGATTTTTAGAGAACAGGTCCATAAATTTGGAGGAGATTTTTAACCAGTCTGCAGGCGGACCCATGGGTGATTTGGAGACACAATATAGAAAGTTGGGACACTTGAAGGAGAAGAAGGTGTCCTTATGGTGGGATATAGTCACCCATGAGAAGTATTTAAAAGATAAATTGGTGCCCAGAAGGTTAAGGTGGGATGTACCCATTTGTGATGGATTAACGGACCTGGAGGCGATAGAGGAATGGTTCAATTTCTTCCATGAAAAGGGCCTTAACTTGGTCATGTTCCTACTTAAAAGGAAACAAAGGAAGTTGAGAAATTTGGAAGTACAAATTGGTGAAATTAAGGAAAAGATTGTACCATTCAAAGACACAACAGAGATGCAAAATTTGACTAATCGCCTTAATAAGGATTTAGATAAAGTTTACCAAGAAGTAAAGTATAGGAAATCAAAGAAATATCAAAGAGATCTTAATGATATAAAGAAAAACCAAGTACTGTATTTTTCGCTCCATAAGACTCACCTGACCATAAGATGCACCTAGGTTTTAGAGGCAGAAAACAGAAAAAAAAAAATTCTGAACTAATGGACTGCAGACATAGTACAGGAGATGACCAGAGACTGCGGACAGCACAGGGATGACCAGAGACTGCGGACAGCACAGGGATAACCAGAGACTGCGGACAGAACAGTAATGACCAGAGACTGCGGACAGCACAGAGATGACCAGAGACTGCGGACAGCACAGGGATGACCAGAGACTGCGGACAGCACAGGGATGACCAGAGACTGCGGACAGCACAGGGATGACCAGAGACTGCGGACAGCACAGGGATGACCAGAGACTGCGGACAGCACAGGGATGACCAGAGACTGCGGACAGTACAGGAGATGACTGCTGACCTTTTGGGGAGGTGGGAGCAGGTACCTGAATTTGACAGGTACCAGCTCTTAATTCCGCGGAGTTGTTCTTTGATCTTACCTGTTCCTCTATCCAGCCACGCGCTGTCTTCCCGGCTTCTGTAGTGTCAGCGCTTGGCATGACAGCCGGGTGCTCAGTGCGCATGATCGAGAAGCACTTGCGTTTTGTGATTGGTCCGGCGGCTTCTGGGATCTGTCATGTGTCCCAGGTACCGCCTTACCATTCACAAAAAGCACCGCCTTACCATTCACAAAAAGCCCAGCGCCCACACTACAGAAGCCGGGAAGACAGCACGCCGCTGGATAGAGGAACAGGTAAGGTAAAAGAACAACTCCGCGGAAGTAAGAGCGGGTACCTGTCAAACTCAGGTACCCGCTCAACACCTCCCCAAATGTCAGCAGTCCTCTCCATAAGTGTTAGGGATCCGGGTATGACCAGAAATGTGTGGACTGACACAGGGAAGTAGCAGGCTTCAAGAACACAGGCGTAGTCAGGCTGGAGAGGTGGAATGGTCAGGCAGGCCGTAAGGTACTGTCAGGTGCCACCTGGCAGTGTCTCTAGCAGCCCACAGCACAGATTTCCCCAGGTCGCGGGGTCTAAGTACCAGCCTGCTATTCACCACGGCCCCTGATGGTGGGGATGGACTTGGTGCAGACTGGAACCAGGTCGCGACCCCTGAGTGCGTCCGGCTGTGGTAGAGAGTACTGGCAGGGGAGTGCAGGAACGGGGTCTGATGGGAAGAGGCAGGCAGACTTACCAAAGGTGATCCGTGCAGGATGGATGGATCGTCGGGTGAAGTAAGCGTAGTCAGGCAGGCCGGGTCGGTATCGTGCGGGCAGCGTGGTACAGGAGGAGCAAGCAGAGAATGGTCAAGGTCACAAGCCAGGTTCAGCAGGTAGTGGGCAGCGCGGTACCGAGGATCAGGCAGAAGGATGGTCAGGCAAGCCAGGGGTTCAACAGGAGAAGTCAACAGAGGTCAGGATCAGGCAGGGTCGGCAACAAATCAGATCGTCAGCAGAACAGGAACACAGGATACCAGGTACAGGGGCTCATGGGAAACATACACCAAGTCCCAGATCACAGGCCTGGTCATTCCTTATATGCACCTCCTGCAATCAGCCTCAGGTGTTTTGGCTGATTGCAGGAATGAGCCTCTGGTTGCTGAGAGCACCCGCTGGCCAGCCCTGGAACTGCAAACCACAAGGCAGGTGAGTCCCACCACTATTGGCGAGTCCATTCCTGACAATAAGGTCCCGCTGCAGAGCTGAGCGGCCGGTCCGGTATTCTGACACGGCGGCGGTGGAAATATCGGACCGGCCGCTCCATATTCGCTCCATAAGACGCACTGACATTTTCCCCCTTTTTTTGGGGGGAAAAAGTGCGTCTTATGGAGTGAAAAATACGGTATTTAAATGGCAGTCTGTTTTTAGATGAAGTGGAGTCGGCTTCGGCCAATACCACTCAGGTTAAAGAAAAGAAAGAAGGTGGTAGTTCTGCGCCATCCTATAAGGATTTATCTAGAGGGTATAATCAAGTGCATTATAATACTCAAAATTATCGAACACCTAGGAATGAGTGGAAACCTAAAAATGGGAATACGGGATATAGGAGACCGCAAGGAAAGGGTCCACCCTTTCACAATAAACTGTATTATCAGAATAATAGGCCATATTATTCTGGACAGAATTATTATCCTCAGCCCAGACCATATTATTCTGCAAGGCCTAATGGCCCTAGATTTGAGAGACAATACCCTGAATATAGGTTGGAATACCAAAGATATGAGGAAAGAAGCCCTATCCCTACCTACAATAGGTTTGAACCATTGAGATCTGATTATCCTCGTGGAGATTTTTTAGAGAGGGGTCAAGGGGAAAGGAGCCCCTAGAGAGAAAGGTGGAGAAGCCCAGGAAGAGGAGGGGATGCAGGGCTGGCTTTAAAAAACAAAAGAAAAAGAGAATAGTAGGTGATGGAGTTTTTAATATAAGTGGCTCTACATTGACTAAAGAGGAACTACTGGTACTAGATAAAGGCCTGAAAGACGATTCCCCTGCACCTGTCAATAAATTTAATGTATTTATAGATACTCAAAAATACATTAGAAAATGTAATATAAAAAAGTACTTTTCAGGATTGCCCGGAGCAAAGAACATTGTTAGTAGTGCCCCCAGCAGTTATGTTACCCACACAAATCTTAGAAACAGATCGCTTTTTAATCCACAGAATACTAATAACAGCCAAATTGATGTTTTTAAGAAATTGGTAAACCAGGACCTAGAGAAACTTAGCATCCCAATATTACGTATAAATATGTGTATGGAAATAGGCTTAAAGAAATTATCCAAAAGGGATGACATAGTTATATGGCCAGCGGACAAAGGAGGAGGGATTGTGATATTGTCCAAAGAAGATTATTTAAGTGAGCTATCTACCCAGTTAAAATATAATTTTACATATCAAGTTTTAAAGAAAGACCCTACATTGTCATATAAAAAAGAATTAGAAAAGTTGGTAAAGAAGGGAGTGGATATTAGGGTTCTGAACACAAAAGAGTCAAAATATCTAGTCCCAGAAACATGTAGGGTTCCAGTCATTTACACTGTCCCAAAAGTTCATAAAAATGCCACGAACCCACCCGGTAGACCTATAGTAAATGGCATACAGTCAGTGTTGGCTAGAATGGGACAATACATAGATGAATTCCTGCAGCCGGTGGTAAAAAGTACTAAGGCATATCTACGAGACACCAAGCATCTAATACAAGTGTTGGAGGAATTTAAAGGAGGACGGGATGTTTATTTAGCTAGTGTGGATGTATCCTCATTGTACACAATTATACAACATAGTAAAGATAAGATACATTTTTTAGATTTAAATATTAAGATTAATAATGGGAAATGTTTAACGAAAACATATTTTAAAAATGTAGATCGTAATGGTTATATACCAATGGGGAGTTGTCATTATCCCCCCTGGTTGTATAATATCCCAAAGGGTCAGTTTGTAAGAGTTAGAAGGAATTGTACCCTTGATAGAGATTATTTAGAACGAGCTGAGAAGCTGGGATCTAGATTTGTTGATAAAGGGTATCCCAAGGACATGATCACCCAGAAAATAGTTGAAGTTGGGAACAGAGATAGAAATACGTTTTTGCAAGATAGTAATAAGGAAGATAATGTTGGTGATAATTAAACAATAATTCTAGATTTTAATATCCATTACAAAAAAATAGAAAGAATTTTTAGTAAACACTGGAGTATTTTAAAGTTGGATCCCATTTTAAAAGGAGTTTTACCAGAATACCGTAAGTTTGTGTATAGAAAAGCACCTACGGTTAGATCAAAGGTGGTAAAAAGTATATTAGACCCTCCCATTAAGAATAATATCACGTTTTTGAATGATAAAGGTTTTTACCCGTGTAGGAATTGCTTCGCCTGTGTAGCCACAAAGAGATCAAATAGTAGACGTAAAAAGTTTGTTGCAAATACCACTAGGCAGGAGTTTATAATTAAGTGTTCTTGCATAGCAGGAACACTTATTGTATTCTCACATATATATTCTTATTCTTATTATTATAGCCATATTTACCACCCTAACTCCTCCCACAGTTTTTACACTACAAAGACAAGTAATATACCAAAACGTGCGGATTGTTCCCGATTGGTGTGCTATTACATTGTGGAACGTTTCGTCGAATCGTTCAAGAAATATCGCGGTTTTTGTGGCAAAATTTTCCCATAGGAATGAATGGTGCATGTAGAGTGGCAGCAGAGCACAGCTAGAGTGTGCAAAGGAAAAATCAGAACATGATTTGTAAACTGCCATCACTCTGTCATTTTCAAGCCCACCTACACATATCTTATATCAAAACGTTCAGCTAACCCTGCTGTCACTAAAAATGTTCACGGCTAGGACATACTCCTGATATTTTTCACAATATGACCATTTGTTTGCAACTCACCCCTCCCATTGACTTTCATTGAAACTCCACTCTAGACACCTGAAATTTTAAGGGACGTTTTTAAACTGCGACTGTGCCTTCATTTTTTATCTTTCAGAGACATACTATACATCAAAATTTAGCTCAGTTTCTTGTGATTCTTATAAAAACCAAGCTCTTCAAGCAGTAGCATTTATACTTTTAAAACTACAAGCGTTTGAAGATGGCAATTGCCAGTGAAGTTGGCAAGTTTAAACAGTGTGTTTAGAACAGAGCTGCTGACATTCCTGACTGAGTGAGTTGCTATAGCAACCAAACATGACTCACACGCAGCTGAGTCATTGAGGCTAACTGTGAGCTCCAAAATACAAGCTGAAATCCATTTCTCACTATCAGGCTTGCTATGTGCACTGCTTACATTTCATCATTACTTGGTAAGGGTTACTTGCAAGAACACTTTACACAATTTCCCCAGAAATTGTAGATTTTCTAGTTAAAGAGTTTATTTCTTGTAAAACGGAAGGGGTAGTATACTGCCTAGAATGCGAATGTGGACTCCAATATATAGGCAGAACAAAGAGACCACTATGGAAGAGACTTAGGGAGCATGTTCAAAATATTAGGAAGGGATTCCCTAAGCATAGTGTCTCAAGACACTTCGCCATGCATCGTAATAAGGACCCTAGTAACATGAAATTCTGGGGTAGAAATATAAGAGACATTGGGGAGGCAGCAACAAAATTAGATCCCTCAGTCAAGCAGAATCAAGGTGGATTTATTATATGAGAACCATGGTCCCCAGGGGGTTGAACGTTGAATTCAACCTCAACTGTTTTATTAGCGATTTTTAATATTGTACATTTAGAGGTTTTATTTGAGATGGTTGACTGTGCATTTCTATATTTTTTAATAATTTTTATATATATTTAATTGTATAAAATAATATTTATTCATGTATTTGAGTTTGCGATCCATGTAAGTGTGTGGGTATATTATAGACACATTTGGTATTATGAGGTATTTTTTATATATATATATATATATATATATATATATATATATATATATATATATATATATATATATATATATATATATTCTTTATAATATATATTAACATCTTTTTCGATATATTTGCATTTTGATCATCTATATACATTTATTTTATAATATTCCAAGGGGGGATTCATTAACCTATTTTTAGGTTTATCACAATACACCATTTACATTTTTAATTATATGGATTTATGTTAGTATTTTTATTAATAAAGTTATTTATTTAATTCTGATTATTTGAGCAATGCAGATAGGTTATTTGGAGCCGCTTGGTAGGTATGAAGGATTTTTTCCTGTATACAGGTGAGGGTTTAGCATGGCTATTTAGTCTTGGGCTTCAAGAAAATGGCCGCGGTCACCTAATAAGGAAGGAAAGGAGGTGTGTCATACACCCATCCCACTATAAAAGAAATAGCTGCGTCTCCATGGCGATACCCCGAGGAAGTCACAAGACCACGTGACGTAACGCGTAGGTACGCCGATACGCAGCTCCCGGTGTGATACTGAGTGACACACTACCGGAGTAGGGACGCCATCTTAGTACACCCAGGAAGTACCGTATGGATGCAGCATACCCACACACAGCAGGAGGAAGGGACTGCATTTGAAATGCGAGTGTGCTTCTAATTTGATTAAAAGACTGTCTTGCTCAAAATTACTACACTATGGAGGATCTCTTTTATTGCTCACTGGTATGGTGAGTAATACACTCTGCAGAGTACCTATACAGAGGGTCCTGGAGGAGGTATTGGAGGAGGATCATTAGCAGGGGACTTTAGGTGATCCTGAGGCTTTCCGGAGATTTATTGAAAGAGGAGAGCTAGTAGCCGGTGATGTGAAGGATCCAGGGTGATCCTGAATGCTTTTTGGCCCTTTGTGGTCATATAAAGGAGGCGAGGAGGCACTGCAGCTGCAGTGGAAAAAGTGTGTGCTGGCACTTGCATGAATTCATCACGCATTGCACTTTGCATGTTTTTGAGAAACACATATTATTGCAATTTCACTTTCACTAGCCACATTAGTGATTGTATTATTTTGTTTTTGATTTTTTGCACAGTAATATTAATTTTTAGTTTTAAGCGCTACACTATTTTTTACAGTTGTCACACTGATTGGTTATCAGATTTGGGTGTTAGCTGCTAGTGATCAGGGCCTACTTCCATATCAGTGCAGGAGGATTTTCTGTTTACATTATACTTTCTAGATACACTGCTAAATATTTAATAAAACAATTTGACAAAATATATAGGAACTAGCTACTTTATCTTTAAA